TCTACTTCTGACCTAAAACCACCCCCTACCCCGCCTTCCTACTTCTAGTTGTTCCACCTCACTGAACCAATGACTTTACATCTTACACATATTGATTGGTGTCTCCTGTCTCTCTAAAATATATAAAAGCAAGCTCTACCCTGACCACCTTGGGCCCATGTTGTCAGGACCTCCTGAGGCTGTGTCACGAGCATGTCCTTAACCTTGGCGAAATAAGCTTTCTACTTGACTGAGACCTGACTCAGATATTTTGGGATCACAATCCACAATCACCATGGTGTGACATTTGACTACAGCATTCAGTACAGAGATGAGCTATACAGGTATGGTATGTAGCCTGAAATCAAGAAGCTATACCATATCACTTACGTGTGAAGGGGGCTACACCATCCAGGTTTTATAAGGACACTCGATGGTGTTTGCACAAAGATGAAATCACTAAGGACACATTTCTCAGACAGTATCCACATTGTTAGGAGATGCTTGAGTGTATTTTAATTGGTTAAAGCCTAGGAGGAAAAAAAAGCAACTGAACTCCTGTTATGGTTTAATAGCAAAGCTTAATAAACATTTCATCTAATCTAAGATGCTAATAATTAACAGACATTATTTTACGCAAATCACAAATAGGCTGCCAATTAAACTGACTTTCTGAATGACAACAAAAATGTGAACTTACTTTTCTAATGCCAGGAAAATAAAATGAAAATGAATTATGATTTTGATATGTTAAAGCAAAAAAGGAGGAAGCCGTTAGCCTGAGGTCTTGTCTAAGCAAACGGAAACCGAACTTCGAGGCATGCAAACTGACTTAAAAACATGAATAAACCAATTAGTTAATGACAAAAAGCCAGGCTGCCAGCTGGCTGTATGACTATTGACACTGAGGGAACCATCTCCACAACCGGTGGTCACCCAGCTGGAGCCCATGAGAAACCTCACTCAGCTGCCACCGCTAAGAACTCGAAGCCCCAAGCCCTGTTTTCCGTTCTGGTGCTTCAGGCATGATTCATGCATCATTCAACCTGTGGGCTGACCCCACAGGCACGCAGACCCCTTCTACAGACTCGAGAGGGTGTTGTATGTGTGTGTGCGTTTTTTTTTTTTTTTTTTAGTTCCAGATGTTTAAAGACATCTCTGTCCTATCACTAGCTGACCACCAGGCTAAAAGAACAGGAGGAGACAGCCACTCATCACAGTCAGAAAAGTCATTAAACAAATACCCACTGCAACAAACAGCAAGAACACACCCCGGGGAGGAGGGAGACGCCTATTTCCAGAGTGGCCACATAATAATATTCTAAACACACAGTTTAAAACAAAGTAAAACAGGTCCGGCACCTGTGATCCCAGTGCTTTGGGAGGCTGAGGCAGGCAGCTCGCCTGAGGTCAGGAGTTCGAGACCAGCCTGGTCGATGTGGTGAAACCCTGTCTCTACTAAAAGTACAAAACTTGTCCAGGTGTGGTGGTGCATGCCTGTGATCCCAGCACTCAGAAGACGAAAGCAGGAGAAGTGTTTAAACCCAGGAGGTGGAGGTCACAGACAGCAAAGATCGCACCACTGCACTCCAGCCCAGGTGAGAGTGAGACTCCGTCTCAAAAAAAAAACAAAGAAAATAAGTCAGTTAAGAATATTCAGCTGGGCCAGGCACAGTGGCTTACCTCTGTAATCCCAGCACTTTGGGAGGCCAAGGTGGGTGGGTCATCTGAGATCAGGAGTTCGAGACCAGCCTAGCCAACATGATGAAACCCCATCTCTACTGAAAATACAAAAAATTAGCAGGATGTGGTGGTACATGCCCATAGTCCCAGCTACTTGGGAGGCTGAGGCAGGAGAATCACTTGAACCCAGGAGACAGAGGTTGCACTGAGCCAAGATCATGCCACTGTACACTGCACTTCAGCCTGAGTGACAGAGTGAGATCTGTCTCAAAAAATAAAATAAATAAAAATAATAAAAATGAAAATACAAAAATTAGCCAAATGTGGTGGTACACACCTGTAATTCCAGCTACTGGGGAGGCTGAGACAGCAGAATTGCTTGAACTCAGGAAGTGAAGGTTGCAGTGAGCAGAGATCGAACCACTGCACTCCAGCCTGGGCAACAGAGCCAGACTCTGTCTCAGAAAAGAAGAGATAAAAAGATTATTTAGCCTGAATGGGCTTGGGGGCTCACACCTGTAATCCCAACACTTTGGGAAGCCGAGGCGGAAGGATTGCTTGAGCCCAGGCATTCTAGACCAGCCTAGGCAACATGGTGAGACCCTATTTCTAAAAAAAAAAAAAAAAAAAAAATGTAAAAACCAGTCAGATGTGGTAATGTATACCTGTAGTCCCAGTTACTTGGAAGGCAGAGATGGTTTGAGCCCAGGAGTTCAAGCCCTGGGCAAGATAGCAAGACCCTCATCACTAAAAGAAAAAAAAAAATTAAAGGCAAAAAAAAAAAAAAAGACAGTGACAAGGAACTGAAAAAGGAAGACATAACCTAGGCAACCCTAAACAAAATGACAGAGGGCCTTCCTTATCAGTAATTACACTGACTATAAATAGATTAAACACTCCAGCTGAAAGTCAGAGATTCGTTAAATGCCTTAATTCAATAAAAAGATTAACATATGCTGGGGGAAAAAACACAAAAAATAAAAAGTCAGAGATCTGGCTGGGCATGGTGGCACACACCTGTAATCCCAGCAGTTTGGGAGGCCACAGAGGGTGGATCGCTTGAGCTGAGGAGTTCAAGACCAACCTGGGCAACATGGCAAAACCCTATTTCTACAAAAAACATAAATAAACAGTAGCTGAATGTAGTGGCCAGTCCTAGCCACTCGGGAGGCTGAGGCTGGAAGATGGCTTGGTCTGGGAGTGAGTCCAAGGCTGCAGGGAGCTGAGATCACCGTACTCCAGCCTGGGTGGCAAAGTGAGCCTTTGTCTTGAAAAAATCAGAGACTGTACAATACATAAAAAACACGGCCCAATTTTATGCTAGGCATAAGAGATTTACTTTAGAGTCAGCGACATAAATAGGTTGAAAGTACAAGATTGGAGAAAAAAAAAATATTCCATGCAAACAGTAACGAAAAGAGAGCCAGAAGGGCTATATTAATAACAGACAAAATGGACATCAAGACAAAAATTGTTGAGACGAAACTCGTATGTATCATTCCATGATGATGAAAGGGTCAGTCTATCAAAAAGATACAGCAATTATAAAGGTAAATGTAGTAAACCACAGAACTCCAAAATATATAAAGCAAAAACAGACAGAACGTTACATGAACCTCCAAAACACAAGAATGTACTAACTGTTCAATCAGTAAAAATGCACAAAAACAATTTTGTTTTTATTCTATTCACTTATCCTCTTTTTTCTTTTTTTCTTTTTAGTTTATTTTTTTCATATAGTTTTGAGCAAAACAAAAACAATTTTTTCTTTTTTTTTTTGAGACAGAGTCTCGTGTCTCCCAGGCTGGAGCACAGTCAGCTCACTGCAACCTCCGCCTCCTGGGTTCCAGTGATTCTCCTGCCTCAGCCTCCTGAGTAGCTGGGATTACAGGCATTCATCACAAGGCCAGGCTAATTTTTGTATTTTTAGTAGAGATGGGATTTCTCCATGTTGATCAGGTTGGTCTCTAACTCCTGGTCTCAAGTGATCTGCCCACCTTGGCCTCCCAAAGGCATAGGATTACAAGTGTGAACCACCACATCTGGCCAAATTTTTTTTTTTTTTAAGTCAGAGTCTCACTCTCTCACTCAGACTGGAGTGCAATGGCACCATCTTGGCTCACTGCGGTCTCTGCCTCCCAGGTTCAACCGATTCTCTACCTTGGCCTCCTGAGCATCTGGTATTATAGGCATGCACCACTATACCCGGCTAATTTTGTATTTTAAGTAGAGATGGGTTTTCACCATTTTGGCTGGGGTGGTCTCGAACTCGTGACCTCAGGTGATCTGCCCACCTCAGCCTCCCAAAGTGCTGGGATTATAGGTGTGAGCCATCTTGCACAGCCCCCCAAAATTTTTTTAATTAGATAAAGAATCCGGGCACAGTGGCTCATGCCTGTAATCCCTGCACTTTGGGAGGCCAAGGTGGGTGGATCACCTGAGGTTAGTAGTTTGAGAACAGCCTGGCCAACATGGAGAAACCCCGTCTCTAGTAAAAAATACAAAATCAACCAGGCGTGTTGGTGGGTGCCTGTAGTCCCAGCTACTCAGGAGGCAGAGGCAGGAGAATCGCTTGAACACAGGAGGCAGAGGTTGCGGTGAGTCAAGTTAACACCATTGCACTCCAGTCTGGGCAACAAGAGCGAAACTCCATCTCAAAAAAAAAAAAAAAAAAAAAAAAATTCGAAAAAGAAAAAGAGAAGGCAGACACCAAAGACCACATAGTGTATGATTCCATTTATATGAAACATTGAGAACAGGCAAATCTACAGACAGAAAATAGGACAGTGGCGGCTGCCAGGGGCTGGGGGAGGAGTGACAGCCAATGGGTACAAGGGTTCTTCATTTCCTTTCCTTTTTTTGAGACAGGGTCTCACTCTGTCACCCAGCCTGGGGTGGGCACAATCTTGGCTCACTGAAACCTCTACCTCCTGAGTTCAAGTGATGCTCCCGCCTCAACCTCCCCAGTAGCTGGGACTGCAGGTGGACACCACCAGGCCTGGCTTTTTTTCTTTGAGATGGAGTTTCACTCCATCTCAAAATTAGGCGTGAGCCACATAGCCCGGCCTAATTTTTCGATTTGTCGTAGAGACGGAGTTTTGCCATGTTACCCATGCCGCAGGGTTTCCTTCTGATGAGATGAAAATATTCTGGAATTAGGTAGAGGAGATGGCTGTACAGCATTGTGAATGTACTAAAAATGAACTGTACACATTACAATGGAAGAAATGGTGACTTTTATCTTATACAAATTTTATTGTTTTTTGTTTTTTTTTTTTTGGTCTGACATTACCCTAGGCTTGTCAGTCAATATTTTCATTTTTTAAAAGGATAACGATGAGTTGAAACGTTTAAGGACCTATCAGTAGAGATGGTAAGAAGACAGCGCAGAAGAGGGCAGGGCTGAGACTCGGGGAAGACAGAGCACGCTCCCCCCGGCCTCCTGCTGTCTGCGGGGCACCGGGAGCCCTGAGGCCCCGCTCCTGCCTGACCACCTGCCTGCTGGCTCCTCACCATCTGGCTTCTGCAGCTTCTTCAGCTCCCACTGCCCCCCAGAGTGAAGGCTGCTCGTCCACACTCACCTGGCCTCGGTGACCTCAGCAGCGTTTTTCCTGCACACACTCTCCAGCTGCACGTAGACGGAGCAGTTGACCCAGCTCTACTCAAGAGTCACAGATGGCCAGGAAGTTGGGGCACAGGCGGCCGATCGTGTACTAGGCCAGGTCCGTCACAGACTGGCTCACGGCCACCCCAAACAGGAAGGTCCCCAGCACCTTGTACACGGCAACCACGTAATTGCTGAAGTCGGAACGGGAATAGAGCCGGTCCGTGTGCACCAGGTAGGCTTCTCCCGCCGAGACCTGGGCATGGGGCAGCCGCAGTGACCAGCGGGGGTCCCAGTCAGCCCGTGGGCCCTCACTGGGCCTCAGTCCTCCCCACGGGCCTCCCCAAGGCTGCTGCAGAGCTGGGGACTCTAAAAGGGCCCTAGATGGACTCGGTGGCTCATGCCTGTAATCCCAGCACTGTGGGAGGCTGAGGTGGGCGAATCACCTGAGGTCGGGCATTCAAGACCAGCCTGACCAACATGGTGAAACCTGTCTCTACTAAGAATACAAAACTAGCCGGGTGTGATTGGTGCACGCCTGTAGTCCCAGCTACTGGGGAGACTGAAGCAAGAGAATCACTTGAACCCAGGAGGCGGAGGTTACAGTGAGCAGAGACCCTGCCATTGAACTCCATCCTGGGCAACAAGAGCGAAACTTCATCTCAAAAAACAAAAGGGGGTTCCTATTACCCACAAGTACCACTCGGGGCAAGGATGTGTCCCCCAGCCCCCGACAGACCTCCAGGCCACCCCCATCAGGAATCCAGGGTAATGCTGTACCCCATCCCGCCCCCTCTCTGTCCCTCTGAATCCCTCCTGCCTTACAAGGATGACGGTGGTCATGATGGTGACCCCGGCCATGAGCCCATGGGTGATGGTGTCTGGCCGGTAGAGGTACCGGATGGAGTCATCCTCGCAGTAAAATCCTCACTTATACGGGGCATTCACCAGTGACAGAACAGCGAAGGGTAGGGAGGCTGGAGGGGGAGAAGGGCCTGGGAGCTGTGATGTTCTCCAACCAGCTGGGCTGTGGGGTCCCCACACCTGCCTTGCCTCAAGGCCTCCCACCGACAGCAAGGAAGAGCTTTTCTCACAGCACGTGGGAGGCCCAAGGGACACCCCTTTCCCATCGCCCTCAGATGAGCACGAACTCCCCAGGCCCTCTCCCCCTCATACCCTCCCCTCTGCTCCTTGAACAAACCGGGCAAACACTCACCTCAAAGCCAGCAGATTGAGCTGGACCCTGGACGGTTGAGCTCAGTGAAGGGAGGGACCTCTAACCTTACCTGTGCAAACAAAATCACAAAGGACTTTACACAGCAGCTGGGAAGTGCCTGCAGCAGCTCAATAACACCTCCACAGGCAGACTGTGACTAGACTCCCTCCTTGCTGGGCAGGGCACCTCTGAAAAAAGGCAGCAGCCTGTTGGGACTTACAAATAAAACCACACCTTCCTTGGACAGAGCACCAGGGAAAAGGAGCAGTTGTGAGTTCCGCTGCAGCAGACTTAAAACGTCCCTGCCCAGCAGCTCTGAAGGAAGGAACGGAGCTCCCAGCACAACACTTGAGCACTGATAAGGGACAGACTGCCTCAGACTGGCCATGTGAAGTGCACACTCTCCCTTTGGATTCTACCATGAATGGGAGCTTCCTGGGGTCTTCCCAGAGGCCAAGCAGATGCCAGCATCATGCTTCCTGTACAGCCTGTGGAGCTGTGAGCCAACAAAACCTCTTTTATTCATAAATTACCCAGTCTCAGGTATTTATTTATAGCAATGCATGGACTAATACAGAAAACTGATACTTAGAAGTGGAGCATTGCTATAAAGATAACTGAAAATGCAGAAGCAGCTCTGGAACTGGGTAATGGGCAGAGGTTGGAAAAGCGCAGAGGGCACAGAAGAAGAGAGGAAGATGACGGGAAGTTTGGAACTTTCTTTTTTTTTTTTTTTTTTTTTTTGAGACGGAGTTTCGCTCTTGTTGCCAAGGCTGGAGTGGAATGGCGCGATCTCGGCTCACCGCAACCTCCGCCTCCTGGGTTCAGGCAATTCTCCTGCCTCAGCCTCCCGAGTAGCTGGGATTACAGGCACGCGCCACCATGCCCAGCTAACGTTTTTTATTTTTAGTAGAGACGGGGTTTCACTATGTTGACCGGGATGGTCTTGATCTCTTGACCTCGTGATCCACCCGCCTCAGCCTCCCAAAGTGCTGGGATTACAGGCTTGAGCCACCGCGCCCGGCCTGGAACTTTCTAAAGACTGACTGAATGGTTGTGACCAACATGCTGATAATGATATGGACAGTGAAGTCCAGTCTGATGTGGTCTCAGACGGAAATGAGAAGGTTATTGGGAAATGGAGCAAAGGTCACACTTGTGACATCACAGCAAAGAACATGGCTGAATTGTGTCCATGTCCCAAGGGTTCATGGAAGGACAAACAAGAGTGATGAGCTAGGGTATCTGTCAGAAGAAACTGTTAAGCAGCAAAGTGTTCAAGAAGTGGCATGGCTGCGTTTTGGGGGGTTTTCTGTTTGTTTCTTTTTTCAAGACAGAGTCTTGCTCTGTCACCCAGGATGGAGTGCAGTGGCACCATTTCAGCTCACTGCAACCTCCACCTCCTGGGTTCAAGTGATTCTCCCACCGCAGCCTCCTGAGTAGCTGAGACTGCAAGTGTACACCACCATGCCTGGCTAATTTTTGTATTTTTAGTAGTGACAAGTTTTCACTATGTTGGCCAGGCTGGCCTTGAACTTCTGGCCTCAAGTGATCTGCTCACCAAGGTCCTGGGATTACAGGCATGAGCCACTGTGCCCAGCCAGCTTGGCTGCTTTTTAACGGCCTATGACCAGATTCGGCAGTAAAAGAATAACTTAAAGGTAGAACTTATAAATAAAAGGGAAATAAACCATTAAAATTTGGAAAAATATCCAGCCTTGCTATGTGGTAGAGAAGTAAAGAGCATTTTAGACAAGGAATTCAAGGGGGCGGTGGGGCAATCTCTTGCTAGAGACAGGCAGACACAAAAGGGAGCCAGGTGCTAACAGTCAAGACAATGAAGGAAAGCCCTAGAGGCATTTTAGAAATCTTCAAGGACAATCCTTTCATCACAGGCCCCAGGTCTAAGAGGGACATATGTTTTTGGGTGCCAGGCCCCAGGTGCCACAGCCTTGTGCCTCCTTGGAATGCCGTTCCCATATCCAAGCCACTCTGGCTCTAGCCACAGCTCAAATGGCCTCAAGTACAGCTTGGGCTGCTGCTCCAAACGGTGAAAGTGGCAAGCCCTGGCAGTTTCCACGAGTTAAGTCCCCAAAGTTCAGGGGTGGTGGAGGCTTAGAAGCCTCCATCGAGGTGTTGGAGGATGTACCAGAAATCCAGGGTGCCCAAGTGGAAGCTGCTATGGGGGAAGAGCCCCCAAAGAGAAACTCTGCTTAGGCAATTCTGAGTGGAATAGTGGGGTTGTGCACCCCCCCCCCAAAAAAAACAAAGCCTGTTAGGGCAATGCCTTAAAGGAGCTGTGGGAACAGGGCTGCCACCTTCCTGACCCAAGAACGGTAGCACCACCAGCAGCGTGCACCCTGAGCCTGCACCATTATGCCCAGGATACAGTCCATGGACCCAAATATTAATTTGGAGCTTAAAGGTTTAATATCTTTGCCAATAGGTTTCAGTCTTGCATGGCCAATTTCAGGTTTGCAATAACCCTTTCTTTTGGCCAATTTCCCCCTTTTGAAATAAGAACTGTTGTCCAGCATCTGTCTTATCATTTTATCTTAAAAGCAAATAACTTGTTTTTAGTTGTAAAGGCTGACAGGTGTAAAAACTTTGCCTTGAGTCTTAAATGAGACTTTGGACTTCAACCTCATGAACTGATGATGGGAACAAGACTTTGGGGGGACTATTAGGAAAGGGTGATTTTATTTTGCAAGGTGAGAAGTACACATGGTTTGGGGGGCCTGAGATGACATGATAAAGTTTGGATGTTTGTTCCCTCCAAATATCATGTCAAAATTTGTACCCAATGTGGAGATGGTGCCTAATAGGAAGTATCTGTGTCATGAGGACAAACCCCTTATGAATGGGTGATGCTATCCTCTCTACAGAGTGAATTTTTAGTCTGAATTCCTATGAGAATTGAATGTTTAAAAGGTTCTGACACTCCCCTCCTGGCACTTGTTTCTGCTGTCTCATGTGATTCTGCACACATGGCACCCCTTCACCTTCCACCACCACTTCCTCCTGGTGAAAGATCTCTACTATAAAAACTAATGGAAGAAATTGAGAGAAAAAAATGAAAAATTGGCCAATATTCATGGATTGGAAGAATTAATATTGTTAAAATAACCATATTGCCCAAAGTAATCTACAGATTCATCACAATATCTATCAAATTACCAATTTCATTTTTCACAGAACTAGAAAAACAATCCTAAAATGCATATGAAACCAAAAAAGAGTCTGAATAGCCAAAGCAATCCTAAGTTTAAAAAAAAAAAAAAAAAAAAAGTGGAAGGTATCAAATTACCTGACATCAAACTATACTATTAGGCCACCAATAAAAGTAAAGAAAACAGCATGGTACTAATACAAAAATAGACACATAATAGATCAGTGGAAAAGAATAAGAAATCCAGAAATAAAGCCACACACCTACAACCAGCTGGTCTTCAACAAAATTGACAAGAACAGACACTAGGCAAAACACACCCATTTATTTTATTCAACACATGGTGCTGGGGAAAATTGGAAACTGCAGAATGAAACTGGACTCCTACCTCCAGCCATATACAAGGCTAATTCAAGATGAATTAAAGACTTAAATGTAACACCTAAAGCCATAAAAATTCTAAAAGGAAAAACTCCTCTGGATGTTGACCTAGGTAAAGATTTTATGACTAAGACCTTGAAAGCAGATACAACAAAAATAGACAAATGGGACTTAATTAAACTGAAAATCTTCTGCACAGCAAAAGAAATAATCAACAGAGCAAACAGACAAACCAGAGTGGGAGAAAATACTTGCAAACTATGCACCTGACAAAAGACTAATATTCAGAATCTACAAGGAACTCAGCCAGAAAAAAATAACCCCATTTAAAAGTCGGCAGGCCGGGCGCAGTGGCTCACGCCTATAATCCCAGCACTTTGGAGGCCGAAGCGGGTGGATCACGAGGTCAAGAGATCGAGACCATTCTGGTCAACATGGTGAAACCCCGTCTCTACTAAACATACAAAAAAAATTAGCTGAGCATGGCGGCGCGTGCCTGTAATCCCAACTACTCGGGAGGCTGAGGCAGGAGAATTGCTTGAACCCAGAAGGCAGAGGTTGCGGTGAGCCAAGATCGCGCCATTGCACTCCAGCCTGGGTAAAAAGAGTGAAACTCTGTCTAAAAAAATAAAAAAATTAAAAATCGGCAAACAACACCAACAGAAGTTTTTCAAAAGGAGACATATGAACTGCCAACAAACATGAAAAAATGCTCAACATCACTAATCATCAGAGAAATGCAAATGAAAACTACAAGGAGATACCATCTTGCACCAGTCAGAATGACTACTATTAAAAAGTAAAAAAAAAATAAAAATAAAATAAAGGATGTTAGTGAAGACATAGAAAAAAGGGAATGCTCATAGACTGCTGATGAAAATATAAATTAGTACACCTCTATGGAAAATGTTATGTAGATTTCTCAAAGAGCTAAAAACAGAACTACCATTAGATAGAGCATCCAGCACTAGGTATCTCCCCAAAGGAAAACAAATCATTATATGAAAGACACCTGCACTCATATTTTTATCATATCACTTTTCACAATACCAAAGTCATGAAATCAACCTAAGTGTCAATCAATGAATGATTGGATACAGAAAATGTGGGCTATGGAATACTACTCAACGATTAAAAAGAATTAAATAACATCTTTCCCAGCAACATGGATGGAACTTGAGCCAGGGTACTTTTGAAGTAACAGAAAGAAATTGTAAATAAATAAATAAATACATGAAATTATGTCAAAGGCACCAGTGGAAAGAGCTCCCAATGGCCCCAGGGTATAAACAAAAAGCAACAAAATACTGGAGAATTGGATAAAAACCAAAACATTAAAGTAACTGAGCATCCATACTGGTATCTATTTATGATTAAATTGATACATACATGGCCTGAATAGAAATATCTTATACAGAAGAATTCCAAATACCTGATATAGACACTCAGCTATCAAGGAGGTGGGGCTAACTCCCCACTCCTGAAGTGTGGGCTCTGCAAGGTGACTTC